TAACCTAGCTAAAGCCAGGCGTAACCTAGCTAAAGCCAGACTTAACCTAGTTCAAACCTGATTTACTGACGTTTGGATTAATCTAGTGACCTTAAACTAACTAAACATAAAAACGATTTGAGACGACAGACCACAAAGTTTTCCAGGATGTTTTTGATAATTTTCACCAAATCCCACGACAGTTTCTATTAATTGAGTTCATGTTTCATCTCCACAAAAAACCAGTCAGTGAGTCAGAAAGAATGAGCCGGTTTATTAGCCCTCATGTTAATCATCAACATCATCATCTTCCACTTCCGACAGTCTCGTGGCTCGGGTTCATACACAACTCTTTATCGGTCAATAGAATCTAATAGAAAAATCTGCAGGTTACAGTTAGGACGTGTGTCCGTTAGAAAAACAACAGAAACCAAAGAAAGGCTCCCCGTCACCCCTTCAGGACGAGGGCTCGGTACAAGGAAAATCTAAACCGGAGTGGACGGGTGGCGTCGTGTCCTGTCCTGGTTCTGAGACGTTTGGGGTGGGGCTTGGTGTGACCAGTAGGTTCTTGGTTTAGACCCAATGGGGGGGGGGACCTTGAACTGGGGGGGCTGGACACCAAACAACCGTCCACAGTCAGATCTAATCCAGCAAAAGCCAGACTTAATATATTTTAAATCAGACTGAATCTAGCCAAAGTCTGACTTAATCTAGACACCAAGCCACCGTCCACTCCAGTGCTTTTTTAATTATTATTTTTCCGGGGGGAGTTAAACCCCCTTCACTACAGCTCTCCTCATCTCGGGAGCCGCCACGCTAATGAGCTGCGGGATCGTTCACGTAATCAAATGGTCCGATTACAGACGTGTTGGAGAAAAACAAAACAAATCACAAATCCCAGCAACTTTTTAAAGCGTGACGACGTCCGGACGGACGGAGACAGACGGACAAGAAGAGAGAGAGACAGTTAGCCTAGCAGTCTTGAGAAAATAACACATACTTGGCTTCTCTTTGCAAAATCGGTTAGACACAAACATGTGAATTAAACAATATCATCTTTAACAGGATAACAAAGTACATTTTTAACTGGAGAGCACCCGCCAGAAAGTGGAAATTTACACAAACCATATTATCTTATCGACAAACTGAATACTCAAAAAACGGATAAAGAGATTTAAATAGACCCCCCTGAACAGGAGAACTCATTATTATCGTCGTCATTATTATTATCGTCATCGTCGTCATCACACATACAAGAAGCAGAACCACTGATTCAATATTCAACTCAACAGACGCCAGATCTCCCTCAAAGCAAGACAAACCTCTCTGTGGTCCGACACGCTAACAGCTAGCTAACGCACAAAAATACACACAATGCTAACACACACACACACACACACACAATGCTAACACACACACACACACACACACAATGCTAACACACACACACACACACACACACACACACACGCACACACACACACACACACACACACACCGAAAGCTGGAATCACGTCTACGAAGGAACACAATCTGTGAATTAATGCAAAGGAGGAAAATGTAAAGTCAAAAATCTAAAACACACGTTAAAACAAGCTAACGGGTAGATCACAAATCCTGCTGGGACGTGACAAATACGTCCATGTTTGTTTAAAACGTATTTGAAATGACGAACGTGAATGTTCCGAGAAACATAATCCGGCCTTAACAGACACACAAGCTACAGCTAACACACAACCTACAGCTAACACACGTACCGCTCAGCTAACACACACCACACACGTTTAGCTAACGAATATTAGGATGTTGGGAGAATCAGGGATAATTTTGTAACGCTGACACATTACTGAAAGGTGTCGCTCCCTTAGCTGGCCATGTGGTTCTAAAAGATAAATGGATATTAAGCCTAAATTAGGTATTTGGAATCGTTTCACATTGTTATGACAGTTTGTTAGCAGCTAAATTTAGATGTTAAGCTTTTTTTTAAGCAGCAGAGTGGATGATATTTGTGTTTGAGTTTTATTCAGATGTTAATGTCAGTGAAGCTCCTTTGAACACATTTCTTTTCACTGGTTTGCTGACAGTTCTGGATTCTTTATCAAAATGGGAGAAATTCATCAATATCTGACGTGAAATTACAACAGGGAGGCTGACGTGAAAGTTTCCATTCTCACCAACTATTCACTAGAAGTCGTGAGCGTAGCAACGTCACGTTAGCGCACGTTAAGCTAACTGTTGACACACACCACAGAAAACCGTAACGGCCTCCACTTTAATTCAACTTACAAAAAACGAGCAACACATGTTCAGTAAAAGCTAAGTCACACGGTTAAGCTAACGCATACAGCTAACGCAAACAAACATTTGAATGCTACATTGGCGTCATGTCGGGAAAATCGGGGATAATTTTGGAACGCTAACATATTACTGAAAGATGTCGCTCCCTTAGCTAGCTGTGTAGTTATAAAGGATAAATGGATATTAAGCCTAAATTCACTATTGATAATTGTTCCACATTGTTTGTTAGCAGGTAAAGAGCAGCAGAGTGGATGATATTCGTGTTTGTTGGGTTGTATTTTGAAGTTAATGCCAGTGAAGCTTCTTTGGAGACATTTTTTCACTGGTTTGCTGACAGTTCTGATTATTATATATTTTTTATCAAATAGGAGAAATTCACAATATCTCCCAAAAAACAAAAACGGTAACGCGCATGTTCACTAAAAGCTAACTCACTCCGCTAAGCTAACGCATATACAGCTAACACAAACAGTTATTGTTCAGGCAAGACATCGTTTCAGTTAAACAGTCGGCTAATAAAACACAGCAAACAAACATTTCGACCACCACATTTGTTTCGCTGACACACAGGAGGTAACGCACAAATCTTTTTTGTGAACTTGCTACATTTAGCGCAATACATCGCTAATATAATCGATAACTTCATTGTTCAGCTACCAACACGTCTTCTACAAAACAAAATCGGCAAAAGTAGAAACGGAGAACTAAGTTACAACAGTAACGTTTAAAGTAACTTTCCCCTTTTCTTTGTAATGAAACTTGAGTTGTGGAGGAAACGTGGCGTCGGCTGGAGACACAAACTGTTTGACCACAGAGAGATCTGGCTTTAGACAACGCAATATAAATCATTTATTCATCATCACATCATAAAAACTAAAGAATCACTATCGAGATACAGGAATAAGAACTATCATCAAACCAACAAAAGAAAACAATAAACGCGTCATTGCACCTCCAAGATGGCGACTTGAACAGGTAAAATTAGACCGAGAACAAACAGACCCAGCGACCACAAATTTAGTACAAAAACAGTTTTTTGTCTCCGACGGTAAAACATTAAATTTCCATCTGACGCTATTAAAAATATTTCTATGCCAAAAAAAATATATAATAACTGAGAGTCAACACACACAATCTGACGCATGCTTTTAAAACATTATCATAAACAAAAATAATAATAATAATATCTGATTTTCTTACTCAAGACTGCTAAGCCTCATACCGATTTCTTATTGGAAAATAAAACTAGACAAAATATAGATTATACTGATGTTTTTTTGTTCAAAGCCACACTGATACATCTTTTAAGTTCAAGTTTGATAAAAATAAAACAAAAAGAGAAAGCAGGGTCTGTGGAGACCCGAGGCTAGTCCCAGAAAACCTGCCCGACAAAATATCAACTTTGTAAGTTAAAAAAAAACAGAAAAGAAAGAGTTCGTGATTTGTTTCAGTTAATCCGTAAGTTTGTTTTTCTCTACAAAAGGAGGAAGCGGCAGAGCGTTGCTAGGAAACCCCGATTCGGTTGCTGTCGACGACCGTCCAGGGCCTTCACCTGGTGAGGGGAGGGGCCTCTAGTGATCCTGAAGAGACAGGAAATGACATCATTGTTCTTCGTCGTTCTGCTTTAGACGTTGTTGCAGCCGTGGAGTCGAATGAATGGTTTACGTGTCGTGTAGAAGAAATACGTCAAACATTATTAAACTTATTGATTACGAATATATTTATGGTAACAATAACAAATATTACACCCAATTTCACTGGAAGAAAAAAAGATATATACAAATATAATATATATACACACAATATATATATTCTTGTTTCTTTGTACCATTAGGTTTAACGTCTGAAATGTTTCTATATTTTTTTTTTTCTTTAAAGATTGTGTTTGAAATCCTGGATCAGCAGAACTTTCTAAAGTAATACTGCAGACCAGAACCTGGTTCAGCTCGAGACCAGCTAGAGACCAGGTGAGCGTGGTGTTTGTTACCTGTATCTGGGCGGCGTTCCACAGGTACGGCTGCTGCTGTCTGTAGTATTCTGCTAACGCTGCAGTGTAGTCTGGGACAGAACTCTGCTGAGAAGACTGACCTGAGGACACACAGGGACATCAGGACAGACAGACATGAGAACACACACAAAGCGACATGAGGACACACACACAAAGCAACATGAGGACACACACACAAAGCGACATGAGGACACACGGACATGAGGACACACACACAGAGACATGAGGACACACACACAGAGACATGAGGACACACACGCACACGGGGACATGAGGACACACACGCACACGGGGACATGAGGACACACACGCACACGGGGACATGAGGACACACATCACGTCTCTGCTGGTTTGATCTCTTTGTTAGTGTGAACATCATCAACATGTCTCATCAGGACTCTGTCTTTGTGTGAGTCACATGATGAACGTCATTTACTCTGTTTAGTAATTGGAGGGACGGACAGACAGACAGAGACGTTCAGACAGAGAGAGAGACGTTCAGACAGAGACGTTCAGAGAGAGACAGAGACGTTCAGAGAGAGAGAGAGACGTTCAGACAGAGACGTTCAGACAGAGACGTTCAGA